TCTTTTCCTAACTGAATACCCTTTATTTCTTTCTCTTGCCTGACTGCCCTAGAGAGAACTTCCAACACTATGTTGAATAGTAGTGGCAAGAGAGGGCATCCCTGTCTTGTGTCAGTTTTCAAAGAGAATGCTTCCAGGTTTTGCCCATTCAGTATGATATTGGCTGTGGGTTTGTCATAAATAGCTCTGATTATTTTGAGATACGTTCCATGAATACCGAATTTATTGAGAGTTCTTCTCTCAGTTCATCAAAGTCATTCTCCGTACAACTTTGATCTGTTGCTGGTGATGAACTGTGTTCCTTTTGAGGGGGAGATGCGCTCTGATTTTTTGAATTTCCAGTTTTTCTGCCCTGCTTTTTCCCCATCATTGTGGTTTTATCTGCCTTTGGTCTTTGATGATGGTGATGTACTGATGGGATTTTGGTGTGGGTGTCCTGTCTGTTTGTTAGTTTTCCTTCTAACAGTCAGGACCCTCAGCAGTAGGTCTGTTGGAGATTGCTTGAGGTCCACTCCAGACCCTGTTTGCCTGAGTATCAGCAGCGGAGGCTGCAGAAGATAGAATATTGCTGAACAGCAAGTGTTCCTGTCTGATTGTTGCTCTGGAAGCTTCATCTCAGGGGTGTACCCTGCCGTGTGAGGTGTGGGACGTCGGTCTGCACCTAGTGGGGGATGTCTCCCAGGTAGGCTACTCAAGGGTCAGGGACCCACTTGAGCAGGCAGTCTGTCAGTTCTCAGATCTCAACCTCCGTGTTGGGAGATCCACTGCTCTCTTCAAAGCTGTCAGACAGGGTCATTTGCATCTGAAGAGGTTTCTGCTGCTTTTTGTTTAGCTATGCCCTGTCCCCAGAGGTGGAGTCTACAGAGACAGGCCGGCCTCCTTGAGCTGCTGTGGGCTCCACCCAGTTCGAGCTTCCAGGCAGCTGTGTTTACCTATTTAAGCCTCAGCAATGGCAGGCGCCCCTCCCCCAGCCTGGCTGCTGCCTTGCAGTTAGATCGCAGACTGCTGTGCTAGCAATGAGGGAGGCTCCGTGGGCATGGGACCCTCCCAGCCAGGTGTGTGATATAATCTCCTGCTGTGCTCTTTGCTAAGACCCTTGGTAAAGCGCAGTATTAGGGTGGGAGTTACCCAATTTTCCAGGTGTTGTGTGTCTCAATTCCCCTGGTTAGGAAAAGGGATTCCCTTCCCCCTTGCGCTTCCCAGGTGAGGTGATGCCTCGCCCTGCTTCAGCTCTTGCTGGTTGGGCTGCACCAGCTGACCAGTGCTGATTATCTGGCACTTCCCAGTGAGATGAACCTGGTACCTCAGTTGAAAATGCAGAAATCACCCATTGTCTGTGTCACTCACGCTGGGAGTTAGAGACTGGAGCTGTTCCTATTCAGCCATCTTGCTCCGGAGATCCTCCATATATTTATGGTCATCACAAAGAATTTCAGGGTCCCAATTTTGAAGCTTCGTTATTAATGCCATGATGAAATCTTTTATTTCCTTTTCATGGGATTTCATATTTTTAATCAAACTTGTATATTTAAGTTGTATTTTATTAACATGTAAAATGTGAGCTTCAAGTTTCTTGAGAGTAAAGACACAAGTCAACCAGGAGAGCTGATGAAAAAGTTCATGCTGAACCCATCTAGATTCTGTCCATGGTTCTGATGCTATCTTGACACATAAAACTACTTGGAAAATACTCATCCCTGGGATCAAGATAAGCCACACTGCCTATGTTGTGTGTCTTCTTTTTTACATGGCAATTTTCAGAGTGTATTGATATTCTTACAACACAGTGAAACCTTCCTGAGTATGGGTTTCTTGAGATTGAGACACATTTGGGTCTCCTCCTCAGGAATCATTTAGTAATTGTTGAATCAGTTTCTTTGATTTTTCTCCTTTCTACATTTTTGTTTTGCAAAAAATATACCCGCCTGACCTCACCAGTTTTCATCATATATCAAGACCTCTCTCTTCATAAATGCTTGGTCTGCCTTTCTTAGCACATTATTGAAGAGAGATAGGTAGGAGCATGAACGTAAAGCTGTGATTTTGGCCATTCTCTACAGAGAACAGAAAAATCAGGACATGTATAGATATATATGATATGTTAATTAAGTCTGGAAAAGTAGAATTCTTCCCCCCAAAAACTGTGAATCTAATGGTCAAGTTTGTTTTATTATATTTTGGAGAGTATAGACGTTTGATCCTCAACAACTATAACAAGGAAAGTAGAGAATGAGGCCTTTATAAGAATATAACAGAGGTATAAATAACATATGAGATTTCTTCTACCATCCTAGATTTTGAATGCCCAGTGAAGTCCTTGGCTGAAGAATGATGTGGGAAAACTGGACAATTGTCAGTGAATTTGTTCTTGTGAGCTTCTCATCCCTGTCCACTGAGCTTCAGGCTCTGCTGTTTCTTCTTTTCTTGACCATTTACCTGGTTACTTTAATGGGCAATGTCCTCATCATCCTGATCACTATAGCTGACTCTGCACTACAAAGTCCTATGCACTTCTTCCTCAGAAATTTGTCCTTCCTGGAGATAGGTTTTAACTTGGTTATTGTGCCCAAGATGCTGGGGACCCTGATAATTCAAGACACAACCATCTTCTTCCTTGGATGTGCCACTCAGATGTATTTCTTCTTTTTTGGAGCTGCTGAGTGCTGCTTCCTGGTCACCATGGCATATGACCGCTATGTGGCCATCTGTGACCCCTTGCACTACCCAGTCATCATAGGCCACAGATCCTGTGGCCAGCTGGCAGCTGCCTCTTGGTTCTCAGGGTTTCCGGTGGCTACTGTGCAAACCACATGGATTTTCAGTTTCCCTTTTTGTGGCCCCAACAGGGTGAACCACTTCTTCTGTGACAGTCCTCCTGTTATTGCACTGGTCTGTGCTGACACCTCTCTGTTTGAACTGGAGGCTCTGACAGCCACTGTCCTATTCATTCTCTTTCCTTTCTTGGTGATCCTGGGATCCTATGTCCGCATCCTCTCCACTATCTTCAGGATGCCGTCGGCTGAGGGCAAACACAAGGCCTTCTCCACCTGTTCCTCCCATCTCCTGGTTGTCTCCCTCTTCTACAGCACTGCCATCCTCATGTATTTCCGACCCTGATCTAGTGCCTCTCCTGAGAGCAAGAAACTGCTATCACTCTCTTACACAGTGGTGACTCCCATGTTGAACCCCATCATCTACAGCTTAAGGAATAAGGAAGTGAAGGTTGCACTGAAGCGAGTTATCCACAGGATGCTGGGTTCTCAGAAACTATGATTGGCTTAGATGTAAACTGAAGGGGTAAAATGTAAGCACACACAAACAAACAGAAAAATGAATTCCTCAAGTGGGTTTTGTGTTTCTACTCTTTCCAGGTGACACAGTATGCCTACTGAAATTTTATACTTTCTACTAAGACCTATTTCTGAAAGAGAGAACATGAGTAATGAAATAAAGCATTATAGTATTCCATAGTATCTATGGGATGGTGGTACCAGTGTCTCTGGAAATGCTGCTAGTTTATATAAATTAGGATCCTCTGAAGATCAATAATTATAATCCACCATTTTTTAAAATTTGTTTTAACCTTTCTTGAACTCCCACATCCATTTCATTTTATAATTTTCTGCTTTACTTTCTTCTATTTGTCCAAAACCTACCTGCATATTTCTAGGCTGTCTTTGTTTACAAAGTAATTAAAATAACAATAATAATGCTAATAAATAGTAGAGTTTTGTTTTATCCTTTTACTCATGTTTTTCAATGAATTTGAGTTTGAACTCAAAATTTTAACAAATTTTTATTCAGCACTCAGCATATGTCAGATTCCGTTTAGGCCCTGAAGACACACTGGTGACTAAAACAGATAAATTTCTTACCTCATATAATTTACATCCTAGTGATAAAGACAGAAAATAAAAAGATACTTCAGTCCTCCAGTGGTTTATAAAGTATACATGTTTAGAGGACTAGCAATTGAAGAGTTCTGTCTCTGCTACTAGTCAGTCTGTGCCTTATCTGGAGAAAGGTTACTCCACAATGACTATGTCTAAATCTCACATTATTCACCTGGTATATGAGAGCTGCTTGACAGAAAAGGTGTAAAGAACTCCCAGTCAAGTATAAGTGGAGAAATTATGGGGAACTGGTGTAAAGAACCCAAAGATTTTTTGCTTATGGGATTTTTTTCTGTAATCTTATTGCGATTGGATGGAATCAATTTTTTTTCAAGCTTGTGTATCTTTCAGCCACATAGTAGCCTCTGTTTATGATTTTACCTAGTGAACACAGTCCAACTCTGGACTCAACAAACAGCAGCCTTGGATATGGGCAACATAACTGTGTGTAAACATACTCCTAGCAATTCATTGATAATTACAGGGTGAAATTATATCTACTACACAGGCATGTCTGCCTCACCAACTCTATAAACAACCCTATCTCTGTGTGCCATAGAAGTATCAGCACCAGTTTCCTTTCCTGCACAAAGTGTCCTTCAGCTCTAGTGATACAAGGGCTGAAAGACAGCTTATTCTGTAAAATGGCCATAAGAATTTTCAAAAGAAAAGGCAGATCATGGGGTTCTATTTGCATGATGGCAATCGCACAAACAGATTGACACCATTAAAAATTGATAGTCTCCAATTTCAGTCAAACTTTAATCACTTCTTCACATTCCTTTTTCTTGACCTTGGTGGGTAAGGTAAATAGTGGCCCCCTCTAATATATCTATATTCTAGTCCTTGGAACCTGTGAAGGTGGTACCTTCCATGGTAAAAGGGCTGCAGATGTGATTTAAGGATTCTCATGTAGGGAGATTATCCTGTGCTATCTGGATAGACCCAATATAATCACAAGGATCCTTCTAAGAGGGAGGCAAGATGATCAGAAGGAGGGACAGAAAAATGTAAGCATGGAAGCAGAGGTTAGAGAAGACAGAAGGTGATACGCTACTGATTTTGAAATTAGAAGACAGGGCCATGATCCAGGAATGTAGGCAGCCTGTGGAAGCTGAAAAAGTCAAGGGGACAAAATTTTCCCCTAGAGCCTTCAGAAGATAACGTAGGTCTTGCTAACACCTTAATTTTAACTCAATGAAACTGATTTTGGACTTTTGAACTCTAGAATTCTCAGATAACAAATCCATGTCGTTTTAAGCAACTAGGTTTGTGGTAATCTGTTACAGCAGCAATACGACACTAATGCATTTGGTCACACCTTATTCTTCTCAGCTAATATCCAAGTGTTTGCTACTTTTCCCTGTACCACTCTTCCTTCTTTTATTCAAGAAAACAACTTCTACTTCATCAAGAAAATTGGGGTGATCAGATTTAAATGACTTTTAATTATGCCCTTACATCTAAAAATGTGTCCATCTATGCCCACATCCATGCCTATTTCTCTTCATCTCAGAAATACTTGATTTCATAGCCTCTTGTCTATGAACCATGCTTCCTGTGGTATCTCATCTGTTTCACCTGTAACTTCAACCTCTTCCCCTCTTTGGTCTCAAGCTGTAAACATGCCCTGATCCTTAAAAATGAATTACAATCTTGATCACGTTTCTCTTATCTTTCTCATTTACTCTCAGACTTACTTTTGTACCATCTTTATTGAAATACCTTACATATTATAAAACTCACCTATTTAAAGTTTATAATTCATTTTTTTAGCATATTCACAATGTTGTGCAACCATCACCACAATCTAAGTTTACAACAATTTTATCACCCCTAAAGTAAGCCCATACCCATTAGCATCAGACAATTTCTTGGGAAAAAAACTTTATAATTTCTATTTTATTTTCATTAAATTTACTATTTATTCGCTAAAATCTAGTTTCTTCCCCTATCACTTCATTGAAATAGATGTTTGAAAATCATTAATGGCCTCTATATTAATGTGTCCAGTGTTTAATCTTAATTTTGCTACTCTCCATTACAACTCTTACATTGCTCGTGTGTTTCTTTTGAAAATTTCTACACCTTTTATTTCCCAAATACCACTCTGTTCTGGTTTTCTTTCTACATGTCTGAACACTCGTTCTCAATCTTCAAGGAGTTTTCTCACAAACACTTAACCATTGGAAACACTATGTTCCCCAAAGTTTCAATAATAACCTTGGTGCTTTTTATCACTCTTGCTTTTTTTTTTTTTTAAATAGCTATACTGAAGTATAATTTATATACAGAAACTACATATATTTAATGTATACAATTTGATGAGTTTGTCCAAAGTCATATACCCATACCATACATACCATGAACAAGGTGAGAGAGGGAGAGAGAAAGAGAGAGAAACCTCATCACTCTAAGCTTGAGAGTAAGATATTTGCAAGTGTCCATAAGACATATCCACACTGATTTCCAAACAGCACCTTAAAGGTATCTTTTAACTCATGTCAAAAACTAAATTCATTTCCTTTATCCAATCCTGCTTCTTGAACTGAATTCATATTTCAAAGACTGTCGCTAGCATTACCTAGTCAACCAAATCAGAAATCTGATAATCAAATGAGGCTCATCTTTCATAGCAGAAAGTCCAATAAAAAGTCCTTACCTAACCAGCACGTTATCAGTTACTTTCTGCCACAATACTACATTATACATAATCTTCAATAAATTCTACAAAGACTATATGATTCTTTTTCTGAATCATAATTTAGAAATACTGTTTACAAAAAAGAGTTAAGCTTACTTCTTCCTAAAACTTTTTATTGCCCATTTAAAAATTTTATTACTATTCTGCTCATTCAAAATATTGTGATATATTCACATATTGATCATCCTTCAAGACATATTTCAGATATTAACTCTTTCATGGTGTGGGTTCAATTGCTTCCAACCTGACAGTATGTTCTTCTCTGAGAAAACATATGCACACAAACATATGATCTACTTTTATTCTGTCCTACTTCTTTGCTCCTTGATTATGATATTTTCTTGTAAGGACAGGGTTTATAACATACTTATATCTCCTACATGGCCTATCACAGTGACTTGAGCATGGTAAAAATGCAATTAATATACATTTGATTTCCCATGAAATAAATTGGAAGTGCTAAATAAGTCCAAACATTCAACTCTCTAGGATCCTTCACAGATATCCATATATAATCCCTGCAGAGAAATGTTGACTTATCAATATTTCAGGTTTCCAATATTTAAAACAATTCTATATTTATGATTAAATGTGGGAATTAAAAATGATAAAAACTTTTTCATTTTGGGTGTCTGTATTATCCAAGAAAATGTGTAAAATACATTTTCCATCTACTCCCTGCCTGCAGTTAATCGTTTCTATGTAAATTACATAATAGGGTTGGATTAGAAAATATAACGAAAAATATGCATTTCTATAGTTTATAAGTTACATTTATAAAATTCTACTTTTATCTTTAAAACAGCCCTTTGAATTAACTATTGTTATTATTATTCCCATGTTAGAGATCATCTAAAAGATTTTATCTGGTTTCATGCCTTTATATACTATGTACAGAGTACTGATCCCCAAAATTACATCTTCAAATGTGATATCTCCACTGAGCTCAAATCCAATATCCAATTGTATTCTTCATCCCTCTGCATTTATGTCAGGTAGGCATCTCACACTTAATTCATCCAAAACACTTCCATAAAACTTGCTTTTTTATTCCCCTCTTCTACTCACCAGCAAATATTATCATCACCTTATTTACTCACTACCTTTCATCCCTCATATTCAACCTATCAGCAAACCTGACAAATGATTTCCAAAATATATGCTATATCCAATTTTCTTTGATCTATGCTGCTATTATCCTAGATCAAGACACAATCATTCTTTACCTTGACTACTGCAGTACTTCCTAACATATCTTCCCATTTCTATCTTGCTTCCCTGTAATCCACTATCCATGGAGGATCCTGAGTAGTCTTTTCAATATGTAAATAAGATTATATCATTCCCTTGCATGCAAACATTTCACAGCTTCCCATCACTATTAAAGTAAAATGCAAAACCTTTACTAATTCTACATTTGCAACTTGTGCTAGTCTCTATCCACCTTTCCAGCCTCACTTAAAATCCCCTGGTCACTCAATTACATTGATATAGTACAATGATTTTGAATTGTGGATCAGAGTCACCTGGAGAACTTTAAAGACACAATGTCAGCACTTCTCTTTTGGCCACAAAGAAGTAGCTTGCATTTAAACAATTCTCCCCAAAACAACTATACAACTATAAAAGATTGACAAAACACACAAAACAAGTGCTTAGAGATACAGGAGAGCAGCAAATACAGGACTTGAAGAGAAAAGCTAAGAGGAGGGAAGACAAAAAAGTAAGTGCCACATTCACCCAAGTGTTTTCCCCAAGGGCATTTGTCAATTCTCTAAGAGGAAAAAAGGGTGTTAGCATAAAGTGGCAATCACTGAAATAAGAAGATAGAAATTAGAATTTAGGGTTGCCAAAAATGTTACCATTGAGAATCAAATCACGAAGATGAGGGTACCACAGATAAACAAGGCCAAAAATTTGCATACAATATACTTATAAGTTGTTTGTCACTCGTAAACAGTGTATGCACAAGAAAAGACTCAAGGAAAGTCAAAAGAAAGCAGCATATGAAAGGCCCTCTCTCACCACTCCTATTCAACATAGTGTTGGAAGTTCTGGCTAGGGCAATCAGACAAGAGAAAGAAATAAAGGGTATTCAGTTAGGAAAAGAAGAAGTCAACTTGTCCCTGTTTGCAGATGACATGATTGT